TCATGGACCATGATCCACAAAACCTTATGGACCATGGTCCAAAAATGGTGTCATTTCTTTTTAAGTAAAGAAATGGTTATCGTTACATATTAACGGAGCCCGTATTTTTTATATGTTAATTACAAAATGAAACTATAGTGTATCTAAAATGAAACTGTCTCACATATTGCTTTTATATTATCAAATGAAACTGTAATTGAATTTAAATGAAACTGTGGTTGTGTTGAAATGAAACTAAATAACAGTTTCACATATTTGAGTGTATATTGTCTAATGAAACTTTAGTTATGTCGAAATGATATTGTAGTTGTGTTGTAATGAAACTATAGTGTATATAAAATGGAACTGAATAACAGTTTCACATATTTTAGTGTATAATGTCAAATGAAACTGTAGTTATATCGAAATGAAACTGTAGTTGTGTTAAAATGAAACTGCAGTGTATATTGTCCAATGAAACTGTAGTTATATCGAAATGATACTGTTGTTGTGTTGTAATGAAACTATAGTGTATATAAAATGAAACTGAATAATAGTTTCACATATTTGAGTGTATAATGTCAAATGAAATTGTAATTATATCGAAATGAAACTGTAATTTTATTGAAATAAAACTGCAAGTCTGCAATATATATAAAATGAAACTGAATATGTTATACAAATAAAACTACTTTATACAGAATGATGTGGAATGACACGAAACGAATGCCGCTTATTTTCATTAAAAGAAACGACAACGTTTTGGACCATAAATTATACACCGCAGTCTACGATATAATTTACCTCATTCCACTCACCATATATCCCCATGTTGAATTTGAATATATAACTTCAACAAAATACAGTCTTTAATTAAATGACATATATGGAATATGATTATAAACATTTTTTTCTCTTATTGATGGGCCATAGTCATGACCCAAGATGGTTGGGGCTAGGTTGGAAGTTGGAGCAGAGATTGGGCCAATTACGCAAGTCAGAAAATTTTATATGGGCTTTCTATAAATAATCTTGGGGACCGGAGAGGCAAATTTTCAATCATTATGATGTGCATCCGTATGCACTGTGCATGGTGCATACGGATGCAAAAACGTCGTTGTTTTGACGTCTAACTTAAAAAAAAAAAAAAATCAGAATTGCATAACTACACATCCATAATTTTATAACTATACATCCATAATTACATAACTGCACATCCATAATTTCATAATTATAAATCCAGAATTGCATAACTACACATCCATAACTTCATAACTATACATCCAGAATTGCATAACTATACATCCAGAATTGCATAACTATAAAATCCAGAATTGCCTAACTACATCATGCATAATTACACATAATTTCATAACTATAAATCCATAATTGAATACATACACATCCATAATTTCATAACTAAAAATTCAGAATGAATGAACTAAAAAATGAACAATATAATGTTGTTGCTGGCAATCGAAACTAATTTGTTTTTAGGTAGGACGCGCGTTTTGATGCAAAACGACGTCGTTTTTGCATCCGTATGCACCACCATGCATGGTGCATAGGGATGGACAGCATAAATTGCCGCAAATTTTACTGTAGACCGCGGTCCATAATGTATTATAGTCCAGGCATCAAAACGACGTCGTTTTGTTTAATGAAAAGAAACGGCACCCGTTTCGCGCCGTTTCACAAAAAGTAACTCTGTTTTTCAGTTTCATTTTGTATACACTGCAGTTTCATTTCAACACAACTACAGTATCATTTTGATATAACCACAATTTTGCTGGAAAATATACACTCAAATATGTGAAATTGTTATTCAGTTTTATTTTGAATACACTGCAGTTTCATTTCAACACAATTACAGTTTCAGTTCAAATTCAGTTTCATTTGATAATATAAAAATAATACGTGAGACAATGTCAATTTAGATACATTGTAACTTCATTTGGTAAGTAACACACAAAAAATAAACGCTCCATTAAGCTGTAACAACTGTCGTTTCTTTACTTAAAGAAACGACGTCATTTTTGGACTATGGTCCACAATATAATTGCTGTTGAATTATGGTCAATAGAATAATGATTGCCAAATATCCAATCGTTATACCTTGCACCACGGCGCGCATAGCACTGTGCGCCCTGCGCCTTCCAAAACGACGTCGTTTTGGTAAGTTATGTAGGGAGTTGACGCGATTGTGTGTATTTGTTTATAAATTATGTGTATTTGTTTATACAATTATGTACATTTTTTATACAATCATATACATCTTTTTGATACAATTATGTACATCCGAAACAGGAAATTTATGTGTATTATGTTAAGAGTTGATGTTTATTATGTTAAAAGTTTATGTATATTATGTATTATGTTATATATATGTATTATCTTTTAAAAAAAAGTATGTGTATTTTGTTATACAATTATGTACATTCATGTATACAATTATGTGTATTCTAATATAAAATCATGTACATTTTTAAAATTGAGACTTTTTTAAAAGAAAATTAACCGCCAACACAATGCAATGCGCGCCCTGATGCAGGATATAAATTGCCCAATTGGGCCTGAATTTTGGATCACTTGGCTTAATTATTATTATTTTTATTTATTTCTTTATTTGTAGCTCAATTACAATATTCTAGAGTTGTTATACCATGGAGTCATGGACCAGTGTCCACCTTGTAAGGTGGACTATAGTCTTAAATGACGTATAAATTATGTATTTTTAGTATTGAAATTATGAACATCTAGCATATAAATTATGTTTCTAAGTCAAAACATATAATACAATAGTAGTATTTGAAAGGAACTTGTGAATACAAAACAAGTTATCACTTACATATATGTTAACACTGTGTGTTCGTAGTATACAAATTGTGAATTTTTAAAAAATAAATTGTGAATATTTAATATGTAAATTGTGAACATTTATACCAGGGTCCATAGAATAATTTGCGCATATTCTAAGTGACCTGGCCTTGTGAATATTTATATCACCATAATAATAATAATAATAATAATAATAATAATAATAATAATAATAATAATAATAATAATAATAAGGGAAAACGGCATTTTTTTCCTCTGTGTTATATGCTTATAGCACTTTTTCCCCCTGAGTTATTCATGCATTCACATTTGCCCCCTCAATTATTATAAAAGTGGGGGGTTTTTCCCCCTAATAATATTAAATGGACATTTCTACCCTTAAAACAAATATTTTATTTATTTCTCTTCTTCAACAAATTATATTGCTTATACGTAGGGATGACCACGGTTCGGTTCGAACTGAACCAAACACTATAGCAATCAAATTAAAAAATTTCGGTTATGATTCATAACATAACTCAATATTTGGGTTTCCGTTTATTAAAATCGTGAACTGGAAAAAAATGGATCCTGAACCGTGAACCGGAGGTTCAAATCGGAACAACTACTAGCAATAGCTTAAATTAGAATTATAATATTTGCAAATAGTGTATGTTTTTTTCCGCATTTATATTGACTCTCACATATAAGTATATATAATCGCGGTTTGAGTTTTATTTTGAACCGTCGGTTCACAATTTTGGATCCAATTTGAACGGTTGGTTCAAACTTTCTTTTAAAATTTTATTTTTTTATTTTTAAAATATTCTAAATTCAACACTTAATGTATTTTATTTTTTCAAATCGTGGTTATAATTTGTTGGAGAAGAAAAAGAAATGAAATATTTATTTTAAGGGTAAATATGTCCATTTAATATATCAGGGGGAAAAACTGCTACTTAAATAATTTAGGGGGAAAAAGTGCTATAAGTATATAACAAAGAGGGAAAAAGTGCCATTTTCCCTAATAATAATAATAATAATAATAAATTTACTTCTTGCAGTAAAATTTAATTCAACATAACATATAGTAATAATTAATTCACTTTCAAATAATAGATTCCTTTATAAAATAATTAACAAATATAACACCTAAACACACCTAAAATACATGTAAATGTGGCTGTCCTTGACGAAAGACCTGGAATGGTAGTACCAATTCCTGCATGTACTGCAATACTACATTGTACTACTCATTTATGTCACGTGTAATCAACAACATTAAAGTTTGGTCCAACTACAATACCCACCCACCTACCACAAAATCAAGTTTAGCTTTCACAAGGTTGCTTAACAGAATTTCAATCTGGGATCAACACAAATAAACACAGGTACGGTAATCTTTTAATTATCCACAACAATAATATAATTTTATAATTTTTACCCAATTTAATTTCATGGATACAGTCACAAAAAAAAAAAAAAAAAAAAAAAAAAAAAAAAAAAAAAACAAAACAAAACAAAAAACAAAAAAACATTTTACCAGAAGGTCAACTTTTTATAGATATTGAATAACCACTCACGACAACCTTCTCCTCTTAGGTTGTACATGTTTGAAAATCTGTCCACATAGGAATTGACTATTGTATTTTTGACAAATTCAATTGGTGTTGTTTCTTCCAGATGTTGTGTAATTTTGGATCATAATTAGCTTTATAATAGGGATGGTAATTTATCATGTTTCCGATGGAAATTTTTGATCCTTGCCTTGAAACGAAAATGGGAAAAATTTTCAAAGAGAAGACGAGGACGTGAAATGTATGTAATTTCTCGTTGGGAATAAAGAGGGGGCGGAGTATTCTTATGTGCCCCGTCCTGCCACCGAATAATTATTATAATTAAAAAAATAATATATATAATTTTTTAAAATTAAAAAGTTAGATTTTTAGTTTTTAAAATTAAAAATTACATTAATTTAAGATTTTGACTAAAAAAGTTAACTGAGATCGGGGATGAGGACTATTTTTAAATTCCCTAAAACGGGGTTAGAGTTTTGAGGATGGGGACGGGAATCGGGGGATGGGGAGTATCCCGCACCGCCCGTTGCCATCCGTATTTATATCATTGATGATGCATCGGAAGAAATTAAAATAATAATTACTTAAATAAAATGGGAAAATATTTTATTTTTTTGCCTCGCCTACTATAAATATTAAATACAGACCACATTAGCCAATCATCCTTCTCTCATTGGCTTTCCCCCAAGAAACACACAAATCTCAGCACTTTCTTTTTCCTCTCAATCCGATTTGTCACCATGTCTCAGGTACTTACTTTCGTCTATTCTAAAATTCATTAAATCTTGCTTGATATTGTTTGGGGTTTAACAAATTGCAGTTTTGATTATCTTGAGTTCTCATACTTTGCATGATTATGTTGAATCTTGAATTTGGGTATTGCTTTTTATACAAAAAAGTTGGGATCTTTACATGGATTAGATCAATTAATTGCCAAGAAATTTCTGGATCCCAGTTTCATGTATTTTTGTTGCTTGTTATTTGCCCAGATAGGATTTTTGTGCTATTTTGATGATTTGCTTGCTATTTCAGATGCCTAGATACTGCCAAATTGTTTCAAAATTCTAAGTTCAATCCTTTAAAGCTTCTTAATAAGTTCAAAAACATTTTCCCTTTTCGAAGTTTTAATCTTTCATTTTCACTTTTTTTTTTTTTTTTTTTTTTTTTTTTTTTTTTTTCTGGTAATGTTCAGGGTAATGGTATACATCATGTTTTCAGTGAAAAAAAAAATGAAGAAGAAGAAGAAATGTTATTATTGGACTTTGAACATAGGGATATATTGATTTAAGGCCACCTTTTTATTTGAGAGAGGATGAAATTGGGAAAGAACTAAACAAAAAATGTAGTTTAAGTGACACATGTTTTTTTGGAGTGACAAGGGAAACCTGCCGCCACTACCCCGCATTGTGACCTTAGTCGGCAAAAGAACAAAAAGAGAGAAACTAGCCTAGGTTGCCCATAGTTGACCGGCTCAAACCAAGAAGGCTAGGATTTGAACTCGTAACCTTGTGGTTACAAGTTTGTATCCTTAGCCAACTTGGTTGGGGTTACCCTTTGGCACATGCTTTGGAGTCTAGAAAACATGCAGAGGTTTAGGATTAAACAACATTATGATTTGTTAGACCTCTTATAAACTAAAATTGGGCTAGAGTCCTCAACCACACTAAAAGATTGAATCCAACCAATTAGTTAGTCTAACCCATGACCTTATAAATTCATATATTCACTTTTAACAAGACCTATTGTCTGAAGTATTAGATTATGTGCAATGTTGATGTGGTTGTGTGTTTTAGAACTATAACTTCCAAGCCCAATCCATTTAAGACTAGATCTTTCTTTGTTCATGATTGCAGACTGTTGTTCTCAAGGTTGGCATGTCATGCCAGGGCTGTGTTGGGGCTGTCAACAGGGTTTTGGGGAAGATGGAAGGTATGTATCTTACCCGGTTTTCATCAATACTATATAGTTTTGTTTTTTAAAAGAAAATATACTGAGTACATACATTCTTGGTGTCATATACACCGAGCTCTATCCTTGAGGATAGGTTGTCCTAGGACCGTGAATTTCACTTTTATGTTCTTTCTGTATATTTAGTAGTATATTGCAGATTCTGTGCTATATGTTCTAAGACGTCTGTCCTTAAAGTATCGATACTTTGATCCTTAATATGTCGTTAACCTCGAATCTTTATTTAAGTTGACGAATAATGCATTCTCAATCTCATGCTCGCTCACCTTGCTAAACTATCTTCAGGTGTAGAGTCATTCGACATTGATTTGAAGGAGCAAAAAGTGACAGTGAAGGGTAATGTGAAGCCAGAGGATGTTCTCCAGACGGTTTCAAAAACTGGGAAGAAAACGTCGTTCTGGGAAGCGGAAGCAGCAGCAGCTGGAACTGAATCAAAGCCGAATCCGGAAGCTGTTCCTGCTGCTTGATAATGATCATCCCATCGCGGCGACTAAAAGCTTTAAAACTATATATGTTCATGGCCTATGAGCTTATTGGATGGCTTTGTAGTGAAGGTATCTGTACAAGAATTGATGTTTAACCAAAAATATTTCCTAGTTTGTTATGATGTTTTCTGTAACATGGTTATTACTACAAAATCAATGTCATTTCTGGAGATTCTTAAGAAAGTCATTTCTCTTATATATGTACTACTAAATCTTGGCATTTTGAAGGACTTGAAACCAGAAACTGAACTGTGATTGGGAAATGACCAAACCAACCCCATTTCCCATCCCTATTTGGTTACTGTCCATGTTAAGGGAGGGTGTGTTGTGGTCATGTTTATGGAAAGGAAAACAAAACGTGTGTACTAATTAATCGTAGAAAATTTTCAGTGTTTCTAGAGAACGAAAAATCGAGAATATGTTGTTCATTTATCTAACTTGAATAATAAGATTAACAGAGAATGAAGAATGAAAAATTTAAACAAATGAAAAACTAGTGAAAGAAAAATTAAAGAATTGAAGTAGACACAATCAAATAACTTTTGAATTTTGAAAAAAAAAAAAAAAAAGAAGAAGAAGAAGTAGTTCTATAGGATGAGTACTGTGAAATAGTCCACAAAATTGGCAATTCCTCCTGATCTAACCTTTCTGCAGGAAAGATCAACAACTCTAAACTAAAGGAAAAAGGAAAAAAAAAAATATTATGACACTTCTTTAAATAACTCAAATTTTAAATTATACGGGTTTTTAGAGAGGTAGATGAGAGAGAAAATAGGTTCTCGCAGAGGGGCTCAAAACTAAGTGTTAGGAATATATTGTAATAGTTTTTGATATGCCAAATTGTATTTTAGAATCTCCAATTTTATGTGTTAAGTCTAGGCGTGTCATTGACCATGAAAGGAAAATTAACAAATTTAGAGAAAGGGAAAAATAAGAAGAAGAAGATGCATATGATATGTATACTTAAATAAGCCCACACGCCCTAACTCAAGAAGTCATAGTGATGAATCTCATACGAAGAAATGAGAAGCAAACTAAATTGCATGAAGTTATCTTGAAGATCAAGCATCTATGGAAAGAAGTAAGTACATCAAGAAGAATGCTACAAAGACCAATAATCTGTATTGGCGAGATGGATGAAAGTTTGATGTATAAACTGCAAGGTTTCAGGTTTGAAACTCACTCTTTATAAATTTTATAAGGCAAAATTAAGGCAAAATTAAAGAAACCTAAATCAGCTCTAAGAGATGATGAAGTAGGAGCTGAGGTTTAAAAAGAGGTTTCGATGATAATGTCTGATAGAATCCTAGGAGCGAATATATAGAGATGCTAGATAGAATCCTAGTCTTGAGCTTGCAACGGAGTAAATTAAAACGTATAGACGAATCCTAGTCTTGAGCTTGCAACGGAGTAAATTAAAACGTATAGACGAAAGAGACATAGTAAAAATATCCGCTATCTGATCTTTGGTAGAAATAAAATTGACTTGTAATTCCTTCTTCTCCCAGATTATCACACCAGAGTTTGGGCACAGAAGGTGGCGCAAACCCGATTTCCTTCATCAGAGAGACGAGCCAAGTAACCTCTGCAGAGACATAAGCCAGTCCTTTGTATTCAGCCTCAGTTGATGAACGAGCCACAGTACGTTGTTTTCGACAAACCCATGAGACAAGATTGGTCCCCAAAAATACAGCAAAATCACTAGTAGATTTGCGATCATCAGGATTGCCAGCCCAATCCGAATCAGAATATGCATGAATATCTAGAGAAGGAGAAGACGTAATCTTAAGACCAAGATGTAGTGTCCCATTTACATACCGTAACACCCTCTTGAGAGCCGCCCAATTCGCAGTAAAGGGAGAGTGCATGTGTTGACACAAACGATTGACTGCATAGGAAAGATCAGGCCGAGTTACCGTAAGATATTGTAGAGCATCTGCAAAGCTGCGATACTGAGTGGGATCAGCGTATGGTACTACGGCATCAGTCTCGGCCTTCGTGGTTGAAACCGGAGTAGCCACGGACTTGCAATCAACTATACCTGCTCGTTTTAGAATATCCTTCATGTACCGTTGTTGAGACAGAAGCATGCCATCAGACAACGGAATGTTCTCAATACCCAGAAAGAACGAGGGCACACACATATCACGAACTTTAAACTCAAGAGCCAACTTGTCAGTAAGAGCAGTCACATGAGCCGGATCAGTTCCCATAACCAAAATATCATCCACATAAACCAGAAAATATAGACGAGTATTGCCATGTGAATATATAAATAGAGAGACATCCGTCTTGGAAGGTGAGAAACCAGCAGAAACCAGAAAATCATGCAAACGAGTGAACCAAGCACGGGGAGCTTGCTTAAGCCCATATAAAGAACGTTGAAGGAGACAAACGTGCCCGGGCATCGTTTTGTCTTCATAACCAGGGGGCTGGCGCATATAAACCGTTTCAGCGAGATTGCCATTTATAAAAGCATTGTGTATGTCCAACTGTCGAATAGTCCATCCACGAGAAATAGCTAAGGATAAAAGAAGACGTACCGTAGTCGGTTTAACAACGGGACTAAAGGTCTCAAAGAAATCCTCGCCGGCAATTTGATTGAATCCCTTGGCAACTAACCGAGCCTTGTAACACTCAATCGAACCATCAGCCTTTCTCTTAGTTCTAAACACCCACTTACATCCAACTACATTCATACCTGATTTAAAGGGAACAAGCGTCCATGTATTGTTGTGCACCAAGGCATTAAATTCCAAATCCATTGCATCCCGCCATTCAGGAAATTTAACCGCTTGAGTAAAACATGTAGGTTCAGGAGTAACAGCAGCAGCACATAAAGCAACATGATCATGTGGTCCCGAACTTCTCGTATTCATTCCATGAGAGCGAACGGGTGAGGGCGCGTGACGAGACCAACCACGAGGCCGGCCTCTTGGCCGAGGAGCCGGCTGGTCCGTGACTGTCCGCTCGGACTCGGTCACGGGCTCGGCAGTAGCAGGCTGCTGGCGGTGGTGGTCAGAAGCGGCTATGGGCGCGGCAGGAGGGTCACGAGCCGTGACAATAATAAGATCACCACCAGAAACAATTGGTGCAACACCCCACGGCTCCAGGCGTGGTTTTGGAACCTGCGAATCCACAGAAGCAACAAAAGGAAAGACAACCTCATCGAATCGCACATGGCGACAGATAAAAACCTTGTTAGTGTTAGTGTCTAAACAACGATAGCCACAAAAAGGTGGAGGATATCCTAGAAAGACACAAGGGGATGACCGAAACTGTAGTTTGTTGCGATTATAGGGACGCAGATTTGGAAAGCATAAACACCCAAAAACACGCAGATATGAATAAGATGGAGGAGACCGATGCAAAAGATAATGAGGAGATTTATCAGATAAGACAGGAGTGGGCATTTTATTGATTAGATAAATCGCAGTTTCAAAAGCATAATCCCAAAAACGAGACGGAACAGAGGATTGAGCCATTAATGCTAGTCTCGTTTCAACAACATGCCCATGCTTACGTTCTACCCTGCCATTTTGTTCATGAGTATACGCACATGATTGCCTGTGACGAATACCTAAGGACGCAAGAGTGGTACCAAGCTTTTTATATTCTCCCCCTAAATCAGATTGAAAAGAAATAATCTTGCGAGAAAAGGAACGTTCAACTAGTGACCGAAACTTATCAAATATAGCATACAAATCAGATTTAGCACGCATGGGATAATACCACATATAACGAGTGTAATCATCCACAAACAACACAAAATATTTAAAGCCAGACGCAGAAAGTAATGGCGCAGGGCCCCAAATATCTGAATAAATTAATTCCAAAGGATGCGTACTAGTAGTTTCGACACGAGACAAAGGAAAACGAGAAGATTTTCCTAATTGACGAGAGGAACAGACATTGGAAAGATCACTAGAATTAAATGTACCAACAGACGAAGACGCTAAAATTTTACGTAAGACTTGAGAATGAGGATGCCCCAACCGCATGTGCCAAACGTAAGAGGACCGTGCAACAACAAATGCAGCAGGGGAAGCAGAAGACGCAGGCCATGTGTGGAGACCCCCAGACGCATGTCCCTTAAAAAGAACCTTCTTGGTCAAAATGTCTTTCACATAGAAACAAAGAGGGTGGAACTCAAAGAAAACATTATTGTCCTTTGCAAAACGCTGGACATATAATATAGAAGAAGAGAGACCAGGGACATGCAAAACATCATGTAACTTAAAAGACATAGAATCAGTGGCTAATGAAGCAGAACCAACATTAACAATAGGTAAACCTGTACCATTGCCGACTCGCAGAGTCTCCGGGCCATCATAACTTGTCGCAGAAGTCATCAAAGAAGAATCAGGCGTTGCATGATTTGTAGCACCAGTGTCAGGGAACCACTGATGAGGACCGTTGGAATCACCATTATCACCAGAGACGGCCACATTAGCCTGAAAACCCGGAGCCCCTGAATAACGCCGAAAACAGTTGGCTCCCGTGTGACCAAAACGGTTACAAATTTGACACGGATCATCATAGCGCCAAAACAATTGGCTCCCGTGTGACCAAAACGGTCACAAATTTGACACGGATCATCATAACGCCAAACACAATTGGCTCCCGTGTGGCCAAAACCTTTACAAATTTGACACGGATCATCAACGTCACGTCGTTGACCGGACCGCTTATGATACGATGTATCTTGGTTTGATGCCATCGGCTACTGCTACGAAGTGAGGAACATAGATGTTGGAAAAGAAAACCCTGGCTAACTGATACCAGATGAGAATATAATTGTGTTGTATTCAATGATAATGTCTGAGAGTACATGGAGCGAATATATAGAGATGTTAGATAGAATCCTAGTCTAACACGAATAATGTACTCCTAGTCTAATATGGATAATAGAGTCCTAATAGTCCTAATACGATCAATTCAAGAGAAGTAGGAGCTGAAGTTTCAAAAGTGGTTTCGAAATCAATTAAATAATAGAACTTGGAGACAAGGTAAGAGAGAGAAATTCAAAAGTGGTTTCGAAATCAATTAAATAATAGAACTTGGAGACAAGGTAAGAGAGAGGTTTCGATCAATTCAAGAGAAGTAGGAGCTGAAGTTTCAAAGGTGGTTTCGAAATCAATTAAATAATAGAACTTGGAGACAAGGTAAGAGAGATGCAGTTT